CACTGCAGCCTCAGCTGCCATCCCAAGCACCCAGAGAAATGGTTCACCCTCTCCTGGGAGCAGCATGGTCACCTCTTCTACATCTCTGTGTGTTCACCAAGATCCCCTCATTGCTGCGTCCTTTCTTGAAGCCTCTCTCGACTCTCCAGATAGAACTTACAATATCAGAACAAGCAGATGGCATAACGCTTATGTTGCTGGACTCCCACATAATTGGCCGTGGTTTGAGTCCCGGACCCGGTGTCTTGAAACTCACGCTGGGTGTGTGTGTGTGTGTGTGTGTGTGCATGCATGTCCAGGATCCCAAGAGAAGAGTGGAGAAGAAGGGATTGTAGCGTGGCCATTCCCCTTGGGAGGTGACTTCTCCCTTTCTGTCTGTCTCTGTCTCTCCAGTGAGTGCACGCACTCTATAGCAAAAATATCTCTTGTAAAAAAAAAAGGTACAATTTCACCTCTCCAGCAGCACTGGAAGTGGTTCGAAGCTAGGATTCTAGAGCCAGACTGTCTAGGCTCCAGTCTCTAGCCCTGCCCCTGACTTACTGTGTGACTTCGGGGACATTACTTCACTTCTCGTGCCTCAGTTTTCCCATTTGAAGTGGGAAGATAGTAGTGGTTTTATAGGTTGTTGGAGGAATAAGGAATGCGTATTTGTGATGCACTGAGAAGAGTAACTGACGCCTGGCTTCTCTCCTGAATGAGTTTTCTGGAGTGACTCTCTGAAGATTGAATAAATGGTCGAAGTCCACGTGAATGGCATTTTTTCTGACGTGACTTCCCTGATACTCACGAGGTGTGCATTGTTACAGTGTTCTCAGGTCACTGGCAGAGCACCTGCTCTCGTAGGTAGTCTCTCCAGCATGTGTTTTCTTTCTCAGGTTTTTGCCATTGGGCGCATGTGCTTACCGGAGAGAGACAGAGAGAGAAAGAGGGAGGAAGACTGAGAAATCTCCCTCTGTGGGTCTGGCCTCTATTCTCCTGGAATTTTTGGCATGCACGCATGTGCGCCTGGTATGATTTTTAAGCCACCAGTCCAGACTCAAACCTGGCGGGCCATGTAGAAGTCTGATGCCTTAACCACACCTCCTGCTGCCCCCAAGTGTGCATTTTCTTTCTTTCTCTTTCTTTCTTCTTTCTTTCTTTCTCTCTCTCTCTCTCTCTCTCTCTCTCTCCTCTCTCTCTCTCTCTTTCTCTTTCTTTCTTTTTTTGAGAGGTTTTTGCTATAGGGTGCATGCACGCACTTGCCAGAAAGACAGAAAGAGACAGAGAGACAGAAAGCGAGAAATCACCCCCCAGGGGGGATGGCCACACCACAATCCCTTCTCCTCCATTCTCCTCTCGGGATCTTGGGCATGCATGCACACATGCGCGGCGTGAGTTTAAGCTACCGGGTCCAGGACTCAAACCACAGTTGACTACATGGGAGTCCAGCAACATAGCCATTACGCCAACTACTGGTCCCACCAAGTGTGCATTTTCTAAGGTTGACTAAGACAGGCTTTGTCTAAATGATTCCCCACAGGTGGTTCATTCATTGGGTTTCTCTCTTGCATGAGTTTTCTGATACTGCTTTGTAACTGTGGACAAGTTATTTCAGGTCTCTAAGTGCTAAGGTTTAAATATATCCCTCAAAATTTCACATATTAGGATTTGACCATATTGATTGTATTGTACGGGTATTCAGGGACAACTTAATTTCTATGTGCTGTCTGATGGTGAGGCCTAGTGAGTGGTGATTTGGTTGGTGACTGCAGCATGAAGGAAGGTCCCCTGAATAGATCATGTTTTCACACAAGGCCCAATGGGTTCTAGCTCCTGTGAGAAGGGGTTAGTTCTCATGAGAGCTGAGTGTTATAAAAGGGAGATCAGTCAGGATCTCTATCCCACCTCTTTCTCCCCATACCCCCTCCTCACCTCCTTTCCCACCTCCCCGCCCCTGCCCTGTGTCTTCTGTGCTCCTCTTGGCCATGTTACTGTAGCCCAGGACTTTGGACTTCTTACCACCAGAATCATGAGTATGAAAATAAACACCCGTCTTCATAAAGTCACTCAGGCTTAGCTATTTCTGTTAGCAGCCCAGTACTGGACTAAGACACTGGATCTCAGGTGTCACCTCTGAAAAATGGGCATGCTTAGGTGGAATTCTCTAGTAATGTGTGTGCAGTGGTCAGCATGGTTCCTGGCTCAGAGGGAAGCTTCAGGGATGGTGGTCATTGTTCTTGGTGAGTTTCTCCATCTTGGCTGTACCGTGGTCTCTGGTCAGCAGGGATCATGAACCATTCATCTTAGTGTCCCCAGAGCCTGGCACGTAAGGCTTGCAAGAGCATTTAGTGGGCAACTGAATGATAAATGGGATAGCCATTGGCCAAAGCTGAGCAGAGGCCTTTTGGGTGTATAGGTCATATTTCTGGCTCAGCCCCACACTGACCTGCCCCCTCTAGGCCTCTCCTAACCCCAGATGCTCATTAGTATATTTGTAAAGTTGGATATCTATCACTAACTATCCAATTCCAGAACTTTTCTTTTCTTTAAAGGTTTTTGCTGTAAGGTGCATGCACTCGCCAGAAAGACAGAGATAGAGAGACAGAAAGCGAGAAATCACCCCCCAGGGAGGATGGCTACACCTCAATCCCTTCTTTTCCATTCTCCACTCGGGATCTTGGACATGCATGCACACACGCCCAGCGTGAGTTTAAGCCACCAGGTCCAGGACTCGAACCGCGGCCGACTAAATGGGAGTCCAGTGACATAGCCCTTACCATAACTGCTGATCCCAATTATCTTGTGAATTTCTGCAACAACAACAACAAAAATCCAGCTGGGATTTTGATAAGATTTGCATCGAACCCATAGATCAATTTAGGAAATATTTCTATCTTGACAACATTAAATCTTTTCATTGCTTCTTTTGAGTATTAATTGAGTGTAAAGTTGAGCTCATGTCAAATGTGCTGTTTCAATTCCAGATTTATTCTGCTTAATATTCTATCATAGGCATTTCCCTGTGTTATGAAAGATGCAAGCACAATTTCAGTGCTATATAATATTCTGCTGCTTAGCTGTGCCACTCTGGTTGCCGGGAAATCCATCTCCAAAGATATTTGATCTGGATCCTTCATGGTGCAGCCATCTCCCTGACAGGCACAGAGAAATCCTGGGAGAACTAATAGCTTCCAGAAGAGCAGCAGAGTATCAGTGTCAAAGCTGATGAAAGGTTCTCCACGCTGCATCGGCAATAGGACACACTGACGAAGCCAACCTTCTGGTTAAAGGAGAGTTGATCTGCCTGTCTTCCCGGCAGCACCACTCTCATGGAATCAGAAAGCCGTCTTTAACAGACTGCACAGACCCTGTTAGAACATGTTTGGTTAAGGCACATTTTCCTCGAACACTGGATTTTAAATATTTTAGAATTTGCAGCATGAATTCAGTTTTTATTATAGCTCAGTATATACACTTTCACCTGAAATAAAAATTGTACTAAGTGATATTCACTTTTCATCTCTGTGAGACCAGGAAAGGCTGGTCTGCGGCAGTAACAACCCCCAGATCTTAGTGGCTCCAGAGCATGCTTTCTTCCTGGTGCTCCATCTCTGTTGTAGACCAGGAGAGCCCTCGGATTCAGGCCGGCAGAGGCTTCCCATCCAGACCGTTGCTGTTTTCGGTGGCAGAGTGTGGAAGGTGAAAGAATGCTCCTGCAAAATAGGTCTCCCCCCTAACTTTAGAACCTATGGCAGAGGGTAATGCCAATTGCAGATGGAATTAACAAGCCAATCATCTGACCTGAAACTAGGGAGATTACTCTGGATTATCCTGATGGGCCTGATGTAATGCCAAGGGTCATTCGAAGTGTAAGAGGGAGACCGAGAAGAAGGTCAGAGTGACGTGATGTGACCGGAGCTCCACCTGCTCTTGCTGGCTTTGAAGATGCAGGAAGAAGGCTGTGAGATGAGAAATGTGTGTGTGGGGAGGGCCTGGAAGGTGGAAAGGGCAAGGGGACAGATCCACCTCTAAGATGTCCAGAAAGAACATAGCCCTGCCAACACCTGGATTTCAGCCCAGTGCGGCCCATTTTGAACTTATGAACCATGGAACTGCAGGGAAGGAGTTCGTTTGTGTGGTTTTAAGCCACGAAGTCTGTGGTCATTTGTTCTCGCAGCCATTAAGAACAAGTATAACAGGCAGGGGGGATCCCGTGCCAACACTTCAAGGCATCTGACTAGAAGCAACATGACACGTGGCCCCTCCACTCATTTCATTGGCTGGAACAGACCACGTGTGCATGCCTAATTTCTCAGGGCTGGAGAAGTTCAACAGTCCCAAGTCCAGCCTTAAAGGGAAACTGAGTATTGAGGGATGCAGTGATGCTGCGCTACCCTTGCTATCTGCAACGCATGCTTGTATTTCCTATTCTATTCCATTTCATTAAAAACCAGAACAATCTTTTTTTTTTTTCAAAGTTTATTTTAAGTTTATTTATCCATCTCTTCCATGAGAGCAAAAAAGAAAGTGAATGAGAGGGTGGGAGAGATACCCTCAACAGGCAGGCTCTCACCCTGCAATCCACCTCCCAGCTGCAGCCAGTTGTGATCATGGGCACACATACGTGCACATTTCCAATATGTAAGGGAGGATCCGGGGTGCAACCCAGGGACCTTCCTATGTGGCTTCAGTTACTGCTTTAAGCTGATTTATCTGCTAGTGGATTATGACCCCTGGTTTGGAAAACACCACTCTACGAATGCTCTGCCCATGCCTGGGGGCCCATGACACACCTTAGGCATAGCTGATTGGCCAAGGGGTAAGACATCTGACTAAAGATGACCAATCACATTCCTCTCCTGGGAATTTGGAATTGGGCCATTCAGCAAGTTAGCAGGGGGGAAGTCTAGCAGAGGCAGAGTAGAAGCAGGATTGGAGTGAGAGTCACACGTAAGCCAAAAGGATGGAGGAGCAGAAAAGCCCCATGTAAGCTGAGAGTGCTGGTCCACAGGGACCATGGAGCAGCCGCGCAGAAAGCAGCACAGCCGGGAGAACGTGCAGTCCTGGGAGGAGAGGCAGAGAGACCGAGCCACTGCCTGACACCGATGGCTTCCCCACTGCTGCCTCCAGCCCCCGTGCGTCCTGCCTGCTCATCCTTCCCGTGAGATTTCTGCCTCTTTATGGTTCCCCTCCCGGTTCCTGAGCTGCCGGGTGGGTCTCTGCTCCCTGTCTCCAGTGAGCCTGAATCAGCTGGCTGTCCCTGTGGGGGTCCAACAGTGGTCTGGGGACACAGACAGAACTAGGGGGGACGGCCCATGGCTGCAAGTTGGGCTTCTACCACAGGCTTGTGTGTCTGAGCTCACCACTGCACGCGTGGGTTTCCCGGCTCGCTAGAAACATCCGTAGGCACCTCTTTCTGACAGCGCTAGTGTCGAGAAGCCGTGGAATTGTTGCGGGAGGCAGGGCGGTGGGACAGGGTGTGAGCTCTGGAGACAGGCAGGCCGTGGTTCGCCTCTGTGCCTCATTCTCTCTGTCTCTGAAATGGGACTGTTGTAAGGGTCAGCAGTGCTCTGGGGAGATCCCGAGGGAGCTGACGAGTCCAGCCCTTGAACCAGAGTTGGGCAGCTGCTCCTGTCGTTGAGGAAGCCACCAGAGTCCTGGCTTCCTGAGGAGGTGGCCCTGTGCTGATGAAGCCGGTGGCAGGACGTTCCCCTCTTCTGGCTGTGCTTCCTGCCCCTCCTTACCCCCATTCTCCCTCTCATCCCTGCTCGCCCTTTCATTTTCTCCCTTCCCTCCTCCTCTCTCGTCACCGTTTCCCCTCTTTTTTTGTAATTCGTGATGTCGATGGAAACACCTGCTTTAAGAAGGCAGCAGGGTTGGATATATAAAAGCACCCCATCCCTGGAAGCATGCGGACAGCACTGGTCCGAATCCTACCTAGCCTTTTGCTTGCCGTGTGTTCCAGGCCAAATGATTACACCTCTCTGTGAGAGTTACGTATCTAATGAAGTGGGAGTTAGGTCCGTGGCACGGTGCAGCTGTGAGAAATAATCAGCCACTGGACAGGCTCTGGTTCCTTCCTCCTTGAATACTGTCCCTCCCAACCTGGCCAGGGAGCCCCTTGCCCACCCAGCAGGTGCTGGAGGGCTTTCTCTGTCTGACTTAGCAATTTGCGGCCTAAGGCAGTTGTGGCCCCTCCTTTCCTCAAACCATGCTAGGCTTCCAAGGGTGGACCAAGGCTTTTGGAAGTAGCTGGGGTGCCAGTGACCCGTGGCACCTCTCTGGTCCCCTCTGCAGGTCCTGCCCTAGCCTGGGAGCTGCCAGTTCACACCATGTGATCTCTATTTTTTCTCACTTCAGCAATTATCACACCCTGGCAGACTGTGGCATCTTCACACTCCAAACACTGATAAATATTTATGAGGAGGAGAACTGCCTGCAGCTCCTCAGGGAGGAGAGGGAGGAACCTGCCAGGCTCTGCTCTGCAGCAGTGCTCAGACTCCTGTCGGGCCCTGGGGCCCCTGAAGGGAGGCTTGGGGTGGGCCGTGGGGCAGGGTGAGAGAAGCTGTCTCTGGGATGGGGGGGCTCCCCTGGACGCCTCAGGGTCTGCTGCTCCCACAGAGGCCGTGGGCAGTGTGCGTTACTGCCGGCCTCCCATGGCCTGTTGCATCTCTGATCTGTCTGTTCCGTGTCCCTGTCTATGAGTGCTTCTCTCCCCCCACGACTCTTCCTCTCATCCATCCTTTCTATCCACACCTCTCTCCCCTGTCTCCTCCAGGGACTCGCATCTCTGAGCCTCTGTCTCTCACTTTTTTCCTTTCCCTCCCAAGAATTACTCTGAGCAACTCCAGGGCTAGACAATGGTGGATGGGGGAGGGCTTGGGGTCCAGATCCGCTGGGCAGAGGGCAGGGGCAGGGGCAGCCATGTTCAGGACCCAGGCACTCTGTCTCCCCCGACTCTGGCTGGTGCTCTGCCGACGGGCCTCGGTTTCTCCATCACGTAGGAGTCAGCCCTTCGCTGACTCATTCCTCACCTGCTCATGGAAGGTTTACGAGTGCCTGCTGCCTGCGGCTCGCCAACACGCAGCTCCGAAATGACAGCTGCTATGCCGAGCTGGGCATTCGGGACGCATTGGTGGGCACGAGAGACGAGACCTCTGCCCTCGTGGGGCGAGTAGACAGGCCACACTCGGATGAGCAAGTGAATTATGCAGTAGGCTCTGAGTGCTCCGGGGGGTTGCACCGGTAAGTGAGGACCAGGAGGCCTGCGTGGGGTGCTGGTTGAAACAGCGACCGAGGAAGCGGGTCAGGCCAGCAGACGCCTCGCCAGAGCACTCAGGGGAGCGACTGGCCGGAGCGGGGGCCTTGGCGGGAGCTGCTGTGGTGGGTTTGGGCAACGGCAAGGAGCCCATGTGACTGGGGAGGGGTGGGAGAAGAGTGAGCGGTGATGCCAGGAGGCAGCAGAGGCAGGCCAGTCACACAGACCCCACAACCACTCAGCTCAGGGTGGCTTCCTCCATGCGATCTGGGAGAACTAGTTCATTTTTACTATTTTTATATATTTTTTAATTGTCAGAGGATTGTTGCGCTCACCAGAGAGAGAGAGGAAGAAGGCATGCCTCCCCTGCCCCATGGGGTACAATTCCATCTCCTCTGTTTCTCGCTCGTGGGAATTTGGGCACACACCCGCATGTGTTCTGCATGTTTGTAAACCACTGGGGCTGGGATTCAAACCTAAGTCAATCATGTGGGATCCAGCTCCCTTAACCGCCAGGCTGTGGGACCAGCCTGGAACGGGCATTCTGAAAGAGTTGGTCAGCCCGCATGTGCGAACAGACTGCAGGGCTGTTCATGGCCCGGGAGAGCCGTGCCAGGGAGGGTGGCGCTCCGGTGGAGGCGGAGGTGGCAAGGGCTCCTTGTGCCAGGCACTGTCCCAGCTCTCAGCACTCGGGTGGGCCTGTGAGTCCCTGCAGGCCCCTGTCCACGGCGCTGCTCGGGTGGCCTGCCCCAGCCTGTCCCGGCAGGACGTGCTGACCACAGTCTGCTTCTCTTTCTCTCCACAGAGTGTTCAAGAAGGCAAGCCCCAATGGAAAGGTGAGTTAGTAACCGGCCTGGCTCTTCCCTGACGCCAACTCTGGGGTCATTCTCTCTTGAGATAATGAGCGAATGGCATCTCTGTGAAGTGCACGCCTCTGTCCAAGGAGAGGCCCAGCCTGGTTGCTCTGAAGCAGGAGGGCCCTCTCAGGAGACGCCCTGTCTGGACTTGAGGTGTGGGGAGAGGCTGCAGTGTGCTTGAAAGATGTGGGGTGCAGCCGGTCAGAAACCGCCACAGGGGAGCGAGTCCCGGTACCAGAGGACCAGGTTGTCCGACCCATCTCCTTCCTTCTTCAGGCCCCAGGCCCCGGTCAGCAGATAGACCTCGCCATCACCAAGGGGACTGAGGGGGGTCGGGCATGGCCCATACCGCTCACGGCCAGATGGGGGAGGCAGACACGGGAATCAGTCATTGCGATCTAAGTGGCAAGTGTGAGATACCGCAAGGCCAGGGGCTGCAGGAGGCACCTGGGCGTTCAGGTCTGGCTTCTTGTCAGAGGGATGCGTTTCTAGGCTAGGCAAGGCAGAAGGGACATTCTGGGGCAGGGACCTGGAGTTATGGGGACTGTGGGGGCGTGCCAGCAGTTGAGTCTCAGAGCACCAGGAGGGCGTGAGAGTTAAGGCCCAGGAAGCTGCAGTGCTCAGACTCCTGACTCTGTCTGGCGAATATCAGGGTGTGCCCCCACGTCTCCATTCTGCGCCCACTGCGGACACCCCCATCACCATCCCCCCGTTCCTGCTGCACCAGAATCCCACTTCCTATTCCTTCTCCGCCCAGGCCCCAGATAGCCCCTGGCAATCCATCAGCACTGGCTCTTGGAATTAAACCCATTTGTCATCCTTCGCCCTGGTGCAGAGAACGGCGAGAATGTTCAGACAGGAGCAGTGTGGTTAGATTTGAGTTCGAGGATGACCCGTCTGGCTAAGCGGGGAAGGGCCCAAGCATGTGGTGCTGTTGGCCACAAAGCATCGAGGGGCTGGTGCTGTGGGCACGAGGAGGGCGGAGGTCAGCCGTATGCTGAGCTGGGGTTGTTAGGATGCAGGGAAGGTCGGGAAGCAGGACACAGCCACGTGACCCTTGGGTTCGCCTTCGAGCACTGGAATTCGAGCTGGGGGTTCTAACCTGCAGGCTGGCTGCTGGCTGCCATGCAGGTACCAGCTTGCTGCTTCCTCACTGCCTCAGAAAACGCGGCCTCGGATAAGTGGATCCCGAGGATTGTTGCGCTCACCAGAGAGAGAGAGGAAGAAGGCATGCCTCCCCTGCCCCATGGGGTACAATTCCATCTCCTCTGTTTCTCGCTCGTGGGAATTTGGGCACACACCCGCATGTGTTCTGCATGTTTGTAAACCACTGGGGCTGGGATTCAAACCTAAGTCAATCATGTGGGATCCAGCTCCCTTAACCGCCAGGCTGTGGGACCAGCCTGGAACGGGCATTCTGAAAGAGTTGGTCAGCCCGCATGTGCGAACAGACTGCAGGGCTGTTCATGGCCCGGGAGAGCCGTGCCAGGGAGGGTGGCGCTCCGGTGGAGGCGGAGGTGGCAAGGGCTCCTTGTGCCAGGCACTGTCCCAGCTCTCAGCACTCGGGTGGGCCTGTGAGTCCCTGCAGGCCCCTGTCCACGGCGCTGCTCGGGTGGCCTGCCCCAGCCTGTCCCGGCAGGACGTGCTGACCACAGTCTGCTTCTCTTTCTCTCCACAGAGTGTTCAAGAAGGCAAGCCCCAATGGAAAGGTGAGTTAGTAACCGGCCTGGCTCTTCCCTGACGCCAACTCTGGGGTCATTCTCTCTTGAGATAATGAGCGAATGGCATCTCTGTGAAGTGCACGCCTCTGTCCAAGGAGAGGCCCAGCCTGGTTGCTCTGAAGCAGGAGGGCCCTCTCAGGAGACGCCCTGTCTGGACTTGAGGTGTGGGGAGAGGCTGCAGTGTGCTTGAAAGATGTGGGGTGCAGCCGGTCAGAAACCGCCACAGGGGAGCGAGTCCCGGTACCAGAGGACCAGGTTGTCCGACCCATCTCCTTCCTTCTTCAGGCCCCAGGCCCCGGTCAGCAGATAGACCTCGCCATCACCAAGGGGACTGAGGGGGGTCGGGCATGGCCCATACCGCTCACGGCCAGATGGGGGAGGCAGACACGGGAATCAGTCATTGCGATCTAAGTGGCAAGTGTGAGATACCGCAAGGCCAGGGGCTGCAGGAGGCACCTGGGCGTTCAGGTCTGGCTTCTTGTCAGAGGGATGCGTTTCTAGGCTAGGCAAGGCAGAAGGGACATTCTGGGGCAGGGACCTGGAGTTATGGGGACTGTGGGGGCGTGCCAGCAGTTGAGTCTCAGAGCACCAGGAGGGCGTGAGAGTTAAGGCCCAGGAAGCTGCAGTGCTCAGACTCCTGACTCTGTCTGGCGAATATCAGGGTGTGCCCCCACGTCTCCATTCCGCGCC